ATATATATATGTGTGTATGTTGCGTTGACACACCCACTAGTGTCTTATAGCATACATAGCCGTCCTCTCCCACACCCCACCACTCACTCACAGAATATAACCACTGCCTTATTATACGCACTAGTGTCTTATAGCATACATAGCCGTCCTCTCCCACACCCCACCACTCACTCACAGAATATATGATTGCCTTATTACACGCACTAGTGTCTTATAGCATACATAGCCGTCCTCTCCCACACCCCACCACTCATCACAGAATATATGATTGCCTTATTACACACACTAGTGTCTTATAGCATACATAGCCGTCCTCTCCCACACCCCACCACTCACTCACAGAATATATGATTGCCTTATTATACGCACTAGTGTCTTATAGCATACATAACCGCCCTCTCCCACACCCCACCACTCACTCACAGAATATATGATTGCCTTATTACACACACTAGTGTCTTATAGCATACATAACCGCCCTCTCCCACACCCCACCACTCACTCACAGAATATAACCACTGCCTTATTACACACACTAGTGTCTTATAGCATACATACCCGCCCTCTCCCACACCCCACCACTCACTCACAGAATATATGATTGCCTTATTACACACACTAGTTCCTTATAGCATACATAACCGCCTTTGCACACCCACCATTATGTCACCGCACATATCACTATATCTTACAACATCCCGCATCATATATCATTGATTCATCACACCCAGCACTTTCTCCCAAGATATAACACCGCCTCCTCACACTCCTGTACTCTGCTACAGTCAGAGACCACCGTTCCTATACCCATTCACCTCTATAACAGATCGCATTACTTCGCTACCGTACTACATTACCGCCTTCACCACCAGCCAGCCTATCAATAATAAACGTCTCTCAGCGTCTCCCCGAGCAGAGATAGGGAGGCAGAGAGTCGCTGAGGTCGTGGGTGCTGCGTCGTAGAGCTGGCTAGGCCTAAGATAAAATATTGCTTGTTTCCCCTTTACCGACCGACTCGCCAAAACGCCGCTACATACTCGACACACTGTATTGGCCGATTAAAACAAAACAAACAATATTTCGTTTCGCCAAAAAAAAATTCAAATTCGTTCCGCAAAAACATATACACAAAACAGAATATACAATATACATACACACAACTTGTCAAAACAAAATAAAAAAGATTTTTCACCTACCTACCTATACTCGGTACCCTGAGAGGCGAGTAGGTAAAGGGGAAGCAAACAATTTTTTAAGGGTGGCCCTATAGCTGCCCCAGCAGGGCAGTGCGTCAGCGTGCATTACTATCACCCTGTCTGCTGGGTGACATTGCTACATTACTACGACTACGACTACAACGTACACTACTATCACTCAGTGTTGTCCTTCCCCTCTAACACACACAGCATGCCGTCAATTTTCCCCACACAAATTAGTCGTCCCACCCACAATATTCCTTTCTCTCGAATGCATAAAAAACCGCCCGCCCACAACCCATCGCTTTCTCGCACGCAAAAATCGCCCATCAACAACCCCTTTCTTTTCGCTCGCAAAACCACATACCTACTCACAGCCCTCTCTAATCTTCCCTTTCTAATCACAATTATCCGAATCTCCCGAATTGTAAACAGCGCGCCCCAGCTACAACTCTTCATTTTCCCCCGCACCACAAAACCACCCGTCTAAGAAACCCGCCGGAATACGCCGGCCATGTTGCGTTGCTCGCGCGCATTCGTCGCCCTCGAACCTGAGTCGTTTACTATCCTATCAATGCATGCATGCACTCGGCCGGAGTTGGTGCACTGCCCTGCTGGGGCAGCCAGCCAGCCAGCTCTACTACGCATCAATTTAACCTCAGCAGCAGCTCTCAGCCTCGCCATGCTTCTAGCTCTACTACGCATCAATTTAACCGCTGCTTCAGCAGCAGCTCTCAGCCTCTCGATGCTTCTAGCTCTACTACGCAGCAACCGCGGCCTCAGCAGCAGCTCTCAGCCTCTCCATGCTTCTAGCTGTGGCAGACGGCGGGCGTGTATTTTTGGTGGGCCGCGTATGTACGTATCGGGTTGCCCCCGCCGCCCGCCCACCAGCGCACGCAGCCGCAGTTCTACTACGCAGTTCGCAAACGTCGTACTTTAGGGCTTTAGAATCCCCGTGAGCACGCAGCCGCGCAGACGTATACTTGCATCGCGCTCTATCTCGTTTCAGTGTTTCTACATATAATTTGTTTTCTTCGTGCACGCTATATATACGCAGCGTAGGTTCGGTAGCGGATCAGCGAGGTATTAATATACCGGTGTTTTTGTGTGCAGCGTATACTAGCTGGCTATATGTTAGACGCTCATTTCATGGTTGTTATGTGGTAATTATACGGGGTTGAGAGTGCGCGGGGACCGCTTATATATATCTTTCGCAATTTTAGCAAGGCTTTGCTGATCTATAATGCGCATTGTTTTGAGTTTCCGCCATTATATATGCGTTCTCTTGTTTGCTTTCAGACTTGAGCCGCCATGTCTGACGAGGAACTGAGCCAGTACGTAGACATTTCACTCTCACAGTGACGCAAACACGATCACGCTATATATAGTTATAGTTATAGTTATAATTATAATTACTGACCGCGCATGCGATCACACTGCGTGCTATCACGAGTGTATATTAGTTAACGCAGTGTAAATCATCGATATCGATTTTCGTACGTTAGATGACAATGATGATTATGTTTTACAGCGATATATATATATATATTTCTGAGTATTACGATGCAAAATGTACGATATATTTGTACATGCGAGTATAGATTTCTAAACGGTTGACGCCCTCTGCTTGTGTGAGTGGATGTGCAGATTCTATTTCTTGAAACGCATAGAACGGATGTTGCCATCAACCCCTGTATAGTACGCGCAGTAACTGCCGGCGCAGCTGTGTGATGCATGCTCACTCATATACCGCATATAGTCTATAAGTTTTTGCAGGTATCCTATTCTGAAATAAATCCCCGTCGTCCTCTAATGAGAGACTTCGTCGCCTTCGTGCTAGCAGCTAAAAATGTTTTCTAAGCCGACAGCGACGTGAATCGTTATCGCTCTGCGCATGCGCGCAATGACGTCGTGTGATCACGTGTCTCATTGTTCGATGTCGCATGGCGCGCCCTCCTTATATGTGTCACACGTTGTCAGCGTACTTTGTTTTCTTTGACTATTTGCAGCGAGGAGTCAGAGGAGGAGTCAGAGGTACACAGCACGATATCCCGCCTTTATATATATATATATATATATATATATATTACTCTGCACTATTCTAGTGTTTGGTGTGTTCTCTTTATTGCATGCTTCTTCAACACAGAGGGAATTGTCTGTACTGCAAAGATTCCGTGCGATCCCTGCAGATGGCAATACGATCGACTCTCGCACGTCTTTGCAGTATTGTCTCTGTCTGTGCAATCGTTGTGTATCACTCACCGACTCACTACTGCTAGGCAGCTAGGGCTGCTCCACTTCCATGACTCCCTTTCATTATGTTCTTCTTTTTACGTCCTCTCTTCCTCTAGCTTTTCCTCTCGTGTGTGTGTGTCTCTCTCGCTCTCTCTATCTCTCTCGCTCTCCTCCTCCTCTCTCTCTATCATTTTCTCTCTCTTCATCTCTCTCTCTCTCGCGCGCGCGCTTGTTCACGCTGTCTGTCTAAATATGTAGCTGTTTTTTAAACCCCTCCTCGCTTGTCCTCTCCCACCTACATGGTCTCTCTCTTTCTCTCTCTCTCGCGCGCGCGCTTGTTCACGCTGTCTGTCTAAATATGTAACTGTTTTTTAAACCCCTCCTCGCTTGTCCTCTCCCACCTACATGGTCTCTCTCTTTCTCTCTCTCTCGCGCGCGCGCTTGTTCACGCTGTCTGTCTAAATATGTAACTGTTTTTTAAACCCCTCCTCGCTTGTCCTCTCCCACCTACATGGTCTCTCTCTTTCTCTCTCTCTCGCGCGCGCGCTTGTTCACGCTGTCTGTCTAAATATGTAACTGTTTTTTAAACCCCTCCTCGCTTGTCCTCTCCCACCTACATGGTCTCTCTCTTTCTCTCTTCTACAGACAATCTCTCTCGCTTTCTTTCTTTTTCTCCCGATTTCTCGGTCTACCTGCCTTCTAGTTCTTCTTCTATCTCACTCCCTCTTATTCTCTCGTCTAGCTCCTTTATAGCTGCCCCACGATCGACGATCCAGTTCAGCATTTCATAGAACAGTACCCGTCTATGGATGGTGACGTAGTTACGGTTATCACCAGACCAGCATGCGAGTCGAGTAGAAGTAGTCTCAGGATCTAGTCACCCTACCGAGAGATCCCCTCCCTAGCCGCAGTGGCGCCATCTATCGCCACCTAGCGTTAGTATTAGTTCCATGGGTTTTCACGCACACCCGACCAGCGCTGCGATGATTTCCCCTACGTTGCACATTTCGTCTGCCTCTTGCGTGTCGAGCATCCTTGTGTCCATGTATCCATGGGCGGGAGGGTACGGGTTGCCTATTTCCTGTGCCTCAGTGCAGCAGCGCCTAACAGTGTGGGGAAGCACTAACGGCAGTAAGGAAAGTTAGAGAGAAAAAGAGCGAAGTAAAGATTTGATACGAAATAGAGGTGGTTTTTATCGTATATTGATATGTCTAGAGATTGCAGAGATTTGCGTTCGGGAGTTCGGGGTGGGTTGTATGACGTCACAAGTGACGTCACGGTTAGATTCGCTGTCACCTGGGCGTTGGGGTTGGGATCATAGATAGATTTCGAGCGAGAGCTACGGTTAAAGCGACGCTAACCGTGAGGGCTGGGATATCAATTTCCGATATCCAGATTAATAGATTGTTTCGAACGCGCTGCTGTCCCGGGGAACAGGAAATCCTGCAAACCTACGCTTCCGCCCTGCACTGCGCCCTCTGGTGTTTGTCTGCTCGTCCGTCTTTCGCCCACTTTTCAGTCCAGCTCGTCGACCGGATGTCACGAAGTTGATGCAACATGGCGTCCCCCAGCTTCTACTTTCGTTTGATTAGTAGTAGTAGTAGTATATGAGCTAACAGAACTTAGTAAACTGATCGCACGAAAACAGTTGATTGCTGCATTGATTTTCACTCTTTTCTTTTTTTCTCATTTGCCCTATCGCGCGCACAACCTTCCGCTGTCCACCTTTACAGGGAAGAGGAATCTGAGGTAGGTTTCCTAAATAACTGCGTATCAGTAAGCAGCTTTATGTAAACGTATACCGTGCACTGATTTCTATATATAGCCGCTATATTTATTTATCAGGACCTCTTATATGTGTCAAAATTCAAACGTTCAATTGATCGATTGATTGTTCAATTGAACAGTCAATTTAATCATTCAAACGTTCAATTGATCGATTGATTGTTCAATTGAACAGTCAATTTAATCATTCAAACGTCCAATTGATCGATTGATTGTTTAATTGATCGATTGATTGTTCAATTGATCGATTGATTGTTCAATTGATCGATTGATTGTTCAATTGATCGATTGATTGTTCAATTGAACAGTCGTTTAATCATTCAAACGTTCAATTGAGCAATTAAATAACGAATTGCCAAATTGAATCGCCGAATTGACGATTTGACGAATTGACGATTTGACGAATTGACGAATTGACAAATCAAAGGCACGAATACTGAATAGGCGTATTGAATCACGGACTTGGCCTTTCCCCTCCCATACTCCTAGCTACGGATATGTGTAAACAGCATGTTAAATTACTTTTAATAGCTTCGTAAATGCCGACGTGTGCTTAGTATCACATGAAAATAAGCACGTTGTGAAATGCATAACGATCAAGAAACATGCATGCGCATAACGGGGAATCGTGTGAAAACGAGGTTTTTGAAATTTTGAACACATGTTTTATATAATAACGTATTAATTAGACGTTATTTAAAGGTCATTTGGTTATTTTCCCAGAACGTAATGGACAAGATAAAAACATAGTCTTGGCATGTGACGGCGGCATCAGTTTCGTATGGCCTGTTAAATAGAGTAACGTAATTCTGTAAAAAAATTAAAGATATTATTCATGTATTTTCACAACAATACCTTCGTTGTTGCTTGTCGCGCCGTATCACAAACATGTTAAAACACATGCGAATATACGCGCACTTACGCCACAGGAGGAAGAAGAAGAAGAGGAAGAAGAAGAGGAAGAAGAGAAGGTCGACCCGGCAGAGCTCAAGAAACAGCAGGAAGCCGCCCGCCGGGAGGAGGAAGCCAAGAGAAAGAAGGACGAAGAGGAGAAGAAGAAGCAGGCGGTGGTCGACAGGGAAAAGGCCAAGGATGATGTACGTGTAGCGACATACGTTGCCGGTGATAACGACGACAGTGATAACAACGAAAGCAACGGCGACGACAATGACGGCGACGACGACAGCGACGGCGACAACAATGACAGCGGCACACGTCGCCGGTGATGACGACAATAGCGAAAACGACGACAATGACAGCGCCGACGACGACAGCGACAAAGACAGTCTTACTTTAGAATTGGGCCCGCTTAAATATTAAATAAATAAATATCTTTATTTATTTACTTATAGTTTATTAATAAATAACTAAAAATAACATAAAAATCTGCTCTCAACGTTTTACGAGATCTGAGATCTGTACGAATGCGTGTCTTCCTCCCCCCTACACAACAGGAAGTCCGCAGGAGGATTGAGGAGAGGGAGAGGAAGAAGGCCGAGGTGAGGAAGAGGTTGGAGGAGAGCAGCAAGAAGAAGAAGAATGGTTTCCTGACGGGCGCCCGCAAGAAGAAGCTGAAAGCTTTCTTGATGAAGAAGATTCGCGAGGACATGTTGGCCGAGATCACGAGGAAGGAGGAGCAGAAGAAGAGAGCTCTAGCCGAACGCGTACCGAACATGCCCGACGTCGACAGCATGCAACAGAGTACGTATCATAGCAACGGGAGAATGACGCGCGTAGCATACTGATCACGTATTATACGCGAAGGGATGCTGGTGACATGAAGTCGTATGAAAGCTAGAGAAAGATGCCGGGAGTGTTAGGATAGTGTTCAAGCATCAGGAAGATACTGGCTGTACTAATTAAGCTCAGCCTAGACTAAGGAAGGACGCTGATGCGGTAGGGTAACGCTTTAACGCCCAGGCGTCTAAGTCAGCGGGCCCGCTTTCCAATCATAAGCGGCTAATAGACTACAGATATTTGGCGAATAGGTCCATTACCGACCGCTAGCGACCCCTGGCGACCAAATAACGACCTCCTGTGAATACTCGAGAGCTCTAACAATCTCTGCGGAAACCTTAGCAACTCCGATATATCTATAATAATATTTATAATATACTAGCTATATCTGATGACGATAGACGACCCTTCGTGACCTTTCAGCTCCACGCTAGCAGGTGGTGATGATGCTGATACCGCGATAACCAGAGAAAATGCTGACGTCACGCCGCTGTCGTGTTTCAGAGCCGCTCGAGGACCTGTGCAACAAGCTGCTGGCACACATTGAGCAGGTCGAGAGTGGGCGATTCGACCTGATGAACAAGATCAAGGACAACGAGAATCACATCATGGACATGCAGTACGCCGTCAACGACCTTAGAGGCAAATTGTAAGCGGCGAGACCGAAACTACACGTTCCTGTTCTTCCTTCCTCTTATTTTCTTGCGTACTCCCACTTTTCTTCCTTACTCTCCTTTTCTTGCTTACTCTCTATTTCGTCCTTATTCTTCTTTTCTTCCTTACTCTCCTGTTTCCACGACCTTAGAGGCAAATTGTTAGCAGCGAGACCGAAGCCACGCGTGAATTGGTCTTCTTACTCTCCTTTTTTCATCGCGGAAAGATTAGTTTTTCTTTCTCTAGCTAGAAATGTATCAATATCACTTCCAAATTGGTATATATAAGTCCCACGTTCGGACCACTGAATAAATAGTGCCCCCCTACTACATTCACTAAGGAAGCATCCCTATCTCCTGAGCTGGGCGGAATAATCCCACTCTCCCCCCAGCTGAAGGATGACATCCCCCCTCATCGTCACAAAACGTGATTATTTCATCATCAGACGGATCATTTAGACGGATAAACAGCGCGACGAGAAACGTTTCAGATTACGTGAGATTATTGGGAATACGTGAGATTCACATTATTAAAGTTAATACGCGTGTTAACTATTTTCCACGATGTTCACTGTGCGTCGCAATTTTATACGCGGATGAAAAAACGCACGAGTTAAACATCAATTACAAATGAAGCTCGTTTAAACGTTAGTTAAGCGAGAATCTCAGTGTCAGCGAAACTTGTGTCTGTGTGGCAGGAGGCAGTGTGTATGGTGCGTAAGGTACATGTGTGCGTTCTGTTTTCCTTTCATACAGCATCAAGCCTCCACTAAAAAAGATCTCCAAGTACGACACCAAGTAAGTTCATGTGTACAACATACTAAATGGCTACATCATACGTATAGATGTACAGGGTAGCTGTAAAACCACGAGTATGTCAATTAACATACACACACACACACACACACACACACTAGACCGGCTGTGCAGGAAGCACCACCAGTAGAAGAGACATTTGTCGATATATGTGTAACATCCTTGGCGCGCTACTATCTGCAATATGAGATCAGCAATATCTGCAATATGCCAGCTCCTCACTTCTAATTTCACACCGGATATTACCTCACAGGTTCGCCAAGATGAAGGCGCTGCAGAAGAAGGGAGGAGCCAACTTCCGGGAAGGACTCAAATCGACCGGAAAGGACAAGTTCGCCCTTGCGCCAGAGGAGGACGAAGTACTTATAATAAAGCTATTATAATAATAATTATATTAAAACATATAATAAATGCATAAATAACGATATAATACGTGCGTAATACACACGCACACATATATTAAAGTAGCTAATATAAAATAATTAACTAATTACCAGATAATTAACTAATTACCAGTTAATTAACTAATTACCAGTTAATTACCTAATTACCAGTTAATTAACTAATTACCAGTTAATTAACTAATTACCAGTTAATGAACTAATTACCAGTTAATTAACTAATTACCAGTTAATTAACTAATTACCAGTTAATTAACTAATTACCAGTTAATTAACCGTGTATCGGGTTAATTATCGGGTACATTAACGCGCGACTGTACACTAACTCATGCTGTCGCTCCGTATTTCAGGCCAAGGCCAAGCCAGACTGGGCCGCCAAGCACTAGTTGATCAACCTCGCAGCAGCGCGGGCTCCGTACCACGACATCAGGAGTCATGCGCGCAGCCTCGCCCCTCTCCCACGCGCTCGTCATCCCGTAGAGATCAGTCAGAGAGATCGAACCACCGCGCGCCACCGACCGACAGCTCGGTTTCCAATCGATTCACGCCGATCGGATTTCACGCTCGTCGTCGATAATCGATAATGCGTTTGCGCGCGCGCCCCGCAATCGGATTTATTTCTCGAACTTGTAAGATTTATTCATCGTTTTACTTTAGTTGGCGGATCGCGTCGGCAATGGAGTCTCTCGCGCATGCGCAAGATCTCGTGCGCATGCGCAGCTCTCGCGCACGCGTCTCCGTCTAAACATTTCTTTATAGCGCGTTTCTTTTCCTGAGGGTTACCTTGTCTTCTCTCCCTTTACCCCTCTACTTATTTTTATTATAATTTTCGTAAACAATAGAAGAAAAAAAGAAAAGAGAGAACCTTGTTATCTATCTATCTGTTTTATGTCTATCTGATTTCTATCTTAGCCTTTCGTTTCATTTCACGAATACTCTTAGGTTTAGTAATAATTTTGCTAGTTCACTCAACAAACAACTTTTACTTTGCATGTTATAATATCTCTTCCCGAACTTATATTCGTTCCTTAATGACCCGAAGTCCCTATGCTATATACTTAAAACATGAACGGACACACTGCCCTTATTATATGTTACAACATCAATAGTTTAATAGCGACACAGGGACTGATCGGTGAACAAAGCCAGGGTAGCATCAGATACCGTTACTTAATTAAAATTCTACACCTACACGAAGCAATAACTTGCTGTGTCCGAAATATACACATACGCATACACATCGTGTAATATTTGTTGTTGTATCAATAAATCTATCCTGTTTTTTTAAACAAATATTGCAACACTATTTGTTGTGTAGTTTTTTATGCCATATAATTGCTCTGCGTAAAATGCAACTTATTTGTTATCGTCATCATTAAGAATTATCAAATCAGTAGACGATTTGAAAAGAAAGAATCAAGTAATAACGGCTTTAATTTTAGACTTAATTTTAACAAAATTAAATTAAATGCAGCCACCCGTTAACATTTAATAAAAGATGTTTTGTTGAATTAAAATATGCTGTCTCCGAATCAACGAACTCCATGCATACTTTAAAAACTGGACACCGCTAATCTACTAACACACATTTTGTAGCAGAGTGTTATTTTAATTGCCTCCCTATCGTTTACTTTATCATTGCGGGTTGGGCGTAATTTTATTTGCACATTGTGCATGCTAGTGGTTTCCGCGTGCATTCTGTTATTGCTAGACTAATGCGCCACCTTGTCGTTATACATCTCTGTTCGCTCCTAGTTTGTCTATGTGAAAAACTTATTATTATTATTATTATTATTTATTGTTATTGTTATGAATATCGCGAGGGTTCGGGTTGTGGGTTAGTGTTAGGGTTAGGATTACGGTTAGGATTATGGTTGAGATTAGCATTAGGTTTAATTACTTTATTTATGCGCAGACAACAGAGTGGGTCAAATTCAGCCGGCATCGATATATACTTACTCTAGTCTATCTCTGTTTCGTCAATGGCTAATTGCAACAACTATTTTAGTCGTGAAACATCTATGTCCGCCGTCTAGTCCTTAAACACGATGATCCTACCTTTAAAGGAGCGGCCATGATCCGGATCGGCATGAGATTTTAGATGGGCAATTCATGTGGCATGACTCCGGGAGCTAGGATATGACTCTCTGAAACGAGCCTCCAAAACACAGAAATCAATGGAAATTAATGGTCGGACTGTACTGTTAGGCGCAGTGTTAGCACTAGGGGGTGAATTGCAACCAACAGAGATATTTTGATACTGTTAGTGTTAGGGATGTCACAAAAGAGTGAATACATGTGCAAATGCATGTGTCTAAAAACCATGCTAGAGAACTCGCATAACTGATTTTCATTAACATAAAAAAAACTCAATGGCTCGATTTCTTGGGCAGAACAGCTTTCCTTACCAGGCCGCTTAAGGTGTTGTATAACAGCAGAAGGCGTCCATATAGGCAGCAGGCCTAAATAAGCATCGAACAGAAATTTGATTAAAAATACTCAGTGTTTCGTCGCATACACAACATACTTTATTCATGTTAAATAACCACAGATTCATGCTCAATGTTCCGCTCGAAACTTTTGCCAGCTCTTTGATGCGAATTTCTACAAAGTTGTTGGATCCCATTTCTAACTCAAAAATTGCCAACCGGTCACCATGGCGACGCCACTTGAAGGAATGTCACAACTACACGACAAATTGAACCAATTTTCCTTCTAATGCTTTCTTGACGTCAACGAGGCATCTAACCTGCGTGCATAATGCAAATTATTACACTCTAGTGCCGAATTTTACCAAATAAATTCTAATAAGGCCTTTTCTAGAGACCAAATATGGCAACACTCTCACTCTCGCGCACTCGCACGCGCACGCACACTCGCACGTCACACATACACATCATAAACCGCACACACGCGCACTCGCGCACTTGCACTCGACTCGAACTCGCATTCGGCTCTCTTCTTCTCTGTCTCTCTTCTCTTCTTTTCTTTCTCTTTCTCTTCTCTCTCTGCTCCTCTACTCTCACTCTCAACTATCACTGTGCGTGGCACTGCGTGCGTTCGTAGCTGTGCGTGTGTGCGCGCGCGCGTGCACGTTAGCTGTGCTGTGTGCGGTGCCTGTTCGTGCGCACGTAGCTGTGTGTGCGTGCGTTTAGTGCGCAGTAGCTGTGTGCGTGTGCACGTAGCTTGTGTGTGGTGGTGTTCGTGCGCACGTAGGCTGTGTGCGCGTGTGTGCGTGCGCACGCAGCTACGTGCAACATTTTCGTGCGCACGTAGCTGTGTGCGCGTGTGTTCGTGCGCACGCAGCTGTGTGTGCGTGTGTTCGTGCGCACGTAGATGTGTGTGCGTGTGTTCGTGCGTACGTAGCTGTGTGTGTGTGTGCGTGCGTTCGTGTGTACGTAGATGTGTATGTGTGCGTTCGTGCGTGCGCACGTAGCTGTGTGTGCGTGCGTACGTAGATGTATGTGTGTGTGTGCGTGCGTGCGTGCGTGCGTACGGAGATGTGTGTGCGCGTGCGTGCGTTCGTGCGTGCGCACGTACGTAGCTGTGTGAGCGTTCGTGCGCTCGTAGCTGTGTGTCCGTTCGTGCGCACGTAGATGTGTGTGTGCGTGCGTGCGCGCGTACGTACAAAGCTATGTGTGCGTGCGTGCGTGCGCACGTAGCTGTGTGTGCGTTCGCTCGTGCGCACGTAGCTGTGTGTGCATGCTTAGGTAGCTGTGTGTTCGTGCGTACGTAGCTGTGTGTACGTGCGTACGTAGCTGTGTGTACGTGCGTACGTAGCTGTGTGTACGTGCATTCTACGCACGTGCGTCCGTGTGTACATATCATGATTAAAGAGGAAGTCATGATTGTGATATTTAATATACAGATTCTGTATATTAAATATCACAATCGTAATAACACTTTATTCTTATTTCTGTCACCATAATTGTACTAATATACTCTTTTCATATTATACGTATACTATTTGTACGTTATATACTATTTGTAGCAAAATGTTACCGTGATTGTATTCCTATCATTTGCTAATGACTTTCTCTTTAATCATTGCAGGTTGATCGTAATACAGTAGCATCTTCTCGTTGTGCACGCGTGTATTCTGTTATTGCTATACTGATGCACCAGCTTTGTCATTATTCATATCTGTCACTCCTTACTTAATAACGAACTTTATCTAACATTCCTAACATTTTACATAGAGTACAGTGAATAGAACCCACAACTGCTGAAGTAGGGTTAGTGTTAGAGTTATAGGGTTAGAGTTAGAATTAGGATTAGTGTTAGAGTTAAGAACATGGTTGAGATCAGTATGAATTACACGATTGACAGCAGTGTAGGTCCAATTCAGCTGGCATTAATTTATTCTGGCTTGAGTCTATTGCTATTCTCCCTGTGTTAACTTCAACGTTCTCATAGTAAGGGTGTGCATGCAATTTCGGCTGTGTGGCTGGATAGCTTCATCTTCTTCTTCAGTTCGACGTGGATCTCTCCGATGGTTGCTATAGTTACTACGATGGTGCGTGGCCTAGTCTCTAGGAACGAGTGTTAAACTGTGCGTGCGTGGGTGCACCACGTTATTGGTGGACAGCCGTTATGAAAACCATAAGCCGAAACATATCAAAGATTTTATTCACTTGTACAGCGTATTTTGCTGTCGTGTACTCTCATGTCTTCTACATCTGCTGTCGCTGCTGATCATTCTGTATAGTAGCTACAGCCTCCTACCTAGACAAGAAAAATATCTCTATTAAGCAAAGCTCATATTTTTATTTAGCTTTGTTAAAGTTTCGTAAAATTTAGCGCTATCCCAATAAATGTTAAAAAGTAGAAAATGGCATTACTGCGGAACCAAGATTACTCACTCAACACAAGAGTGAAGGTGCATGTGTGTGTACATGCATGCATGCGCGTACTTGCGGACACGTGTGTATGACGCATGCATCACGCTCGACTATACTTTGTTGTTAGACGTTCTCCACACGTTCATATTACGTTTAACGTTTTCACACATAATTAAAATGAATTTAAAGACCATGCTAGAAGATTTCCTAATATCAATACATACGTTGTCTCCCCGCAGTCTCTCTCTCTCTCTCTCTCGCTCTCTCTTGTGCATCCACTACTGGCGATGGCATTTCCCAGTTGGTAGGCTGTCATATTTTGCCTGAACAATAAAGATATCTCGAGTAAAGATGACGTTTTTGATTTACGTTTACGCTGTGTACAATATACCGAGTGTACAGTATTCCTGCTGTTGACACCTGCTGCCACCTGGTGACAAGCCGAAGCAGTATTCATTCTTATTGTAAATGGCAGTTTGAGCAGTTGTGGAAACTGTTGCTAACAGGTTAATTTCGTTGTTTGATAGCGAATTAGGATTACTATTAATATTGTCATGAAACTATTTACTCAATGAAAGCTCTCTATGCACATAAGACCTCTATGCAACAGGTCTTAGTTAGAACCATGCAGTCCGTGAAAAATACTCCCACGTGAATCGTATTGAGTCGTGACTTACCTTTAAACAGCTGATCAGAAATCGGTGAATAACTTTCTGAAAACAATTCAATTTGTACCAGCATTTTGTAATATTAGTCCCGAAATTTTATACTGTTTGTAGCAAACTGTTATACTGTATTTATCAGAATATTAGCGCCTGGGGGGGGGGCACTCCCATTGTTAAAGGTACTGGGGACGTGCCACTGGACAGGGTATATTGTCCAAACATCATTATTGGCACAGGGTATATTTTCCGAGCATCATTATTGGCACAGGGTTATCTAGATACACATCCATCAAGCTGATATTGGACCAATATTGGCAAAACAATATTGGGCCAATATCACCAGGCCAATATTGCACCAATATAGGCAGATATTGGTGCAATATCGGCCCAATATTAGCAGTACAATATTGGGCCAATATCACCAGGCCGATATTGGACCAATATCTGCCTATGTATTGACAGGACAGGACATAACCGAAATGTCCAATATTGCAACAGGGTATACTTTTTAGTGCAGTATAATGGGACAGGGTGTATTTTATGGTGCAAAGCGGTTTGCGACAGGGTTTTCAAGGTCCCGGAGGCACACCCCTACCTCTCTGTATTCATTTTCTAATTATTTCTAGAATATGAATGGCATACGTTTGGCCCACTCGCATTCGCATGTTTTGCTAATTATTTCCATGCGTGTATCTGTTACTCATATGCTAGCTCATACGGTACCTTGATCGCTTCTCATCTTTCGACTCCATCAGTAGTTTTCCCTTCATGGTTATGGGTGTTTTTCTGCCAGGG